TAATAAAATAATATAGTTATGTCAACACTAATTTTGTAGATCTTTTGATTTAATTTTTAAATATGTAATTTTTTATTTTTTAATTCGACATTATTTTTCATATAAAATGATTTAAAAATAACTTTAGTCAAACGTTGCAAACTGAAACAGACAATTTAAACTGAGACAGGTGGAGTAATTGAAATAATTTTTTTAAAAGCAAATTTAATAAAATCATTTTTATTTTATAGAGTAATATGCATTAGAATTTTTACTTAAATGAGGCTTAAAGTTCGTCTAACTCGTTTTAAAAAATCATATTAAACAAATATACAGAGTTCGTAATTCGTAAAATGCTTGGTTCACAAACACAATGGTTACAAATTTCACAAACTTACTATTTGTGAACTCCAATGAAAAAAATTAAATAGTCTAAAATAATTTAAAAATGAAAATTTAAACCATAAATAGTAAGTTTGTGAATTTTGTGAGCATTCTGTTTGTGAACCTAGCATTGCTCAAACAATATTGATTCTCTGGAATAATCACACGAACACGTGGAGTTGGTACAGATTTGAGATGTGACAGATGCCCGCAATGACGGGCCGGGTTGGGGGCCATCATACCAACACATGTACTTTTCGTTTTTGAGCTGGAAAATATGAGGATGACTTTGACCACTTTAGTTGAGTCCATTTATTATTTACTCATAAGTCATGACTATTTTTGTACACAGAGCCCTTTAAAATTTGCGGGACTATATACTTATTACTCCGTATTTAATTTAAAATTTCAAACTGAAGAAATGCATAAATGGACTGAAAAGTAATGAACCCAAAAAAAATTCAAAAAACCGGAAGCCCGTAATCCATGGGCCTATCTTGGCCCAATTAATCTAACATTGCGGTCCAAAGAATCTAACCTCAAGTCCTCAATTATACACATTTCTGCTTTCACAACACTTCTTTAGGAGTATAAGAACTACTTTTAGACAATTAAACACACAATAATTTTCTCCCTCGTTTGGGAACATCATTTATCAACTCGAGTTAACATTTTTTAACGGTACAAATTGATTCTAAAACATCACAACTAACCACTAACATTAGATGAGATTTTCAAAAAACTTAAATTGCCAAAGAGGGACTTAATCTGATGTCTACATCAATGTTTTCAAACCCGGACCGGACCGGCCAGTCTAACCGGTCGGAACGTGAACCGGTGCCAACCACGGTCCGAGTTAACATGAAACCCAGTCTTCCAAAAACCCGCCAAGAACCGCCCGAACCGGCAGACTCGGGGAACCGGGTCAACCCGGACGGTCTGCGGGTTTTACAAGGATCCTCACCTTTTGTTTTAATTAAAAAGAAAATGATCTCAACAAGGTTCGAACCTTGTATTTTTGCTTTGAGGTTAAGGCATAGCCAACTGAATCACTTGATCTCTTAAGGACATTTCCGTTTTGAATGGTTAAGTTACGTACATTTATTTAATGGGCTTTGAACATACGGTTGATACCCTTGAGTCCTTGACACCGTTTGAAAATTTATTCAATTGTTTGAAAAAATAATCATACTCCGTACCTTTGTAATGTTGGTTTAGTTTACTATCTTTAAAAATAATTAAAAAATATCATTGTGTATTATTAATGTAAAAAATAAATATAAATTATTTAATAAAAAAGTTATTAGAATTTACTTAAATAATTACAACTTCGTATAATTTTTAAAAAATCAATTAAACACTTATTGTATATATTAAAATATAGAGTAAATTCTATAATTCGTCTTTTATAACAAGGGATTTCCCTATTTAGTCCTCTATTATCAAATAATACTCTAGTAGTCCTTCTTTTATGGGTATCTTTCCACAAATAGTCCTTTTTTTGATTTTCAATCATGTTGGTGTTAATTTGAGGGCTAAAAGTGTAATTTCACAATGATAATATATCTTTTTTGTCATACACAATTCCAAAGGATGTTCCGTTAGCGTCGTTTGTGAATTACAGTCGCTTTTTACGACAACTATAGTCTACAAATGTGATCTTTCGTCAGAATCCTAGTCCACAATCATAGTCATTATTTTTGTGTTATTCGTTTAACCAATATCAGAACACATTACTAAACAAAATGTTGATGTCAAATTATACTTTCAGCCTTTAAATTAACACCAACACGACAGAAGATCAAAAAAGGACCATTTGTGGAAAGATACCCTTAAAAAAAGGACTACGGGGGTAATATTTGATAATAGGGGACTAAATATGGAAACCCCCCTGTTATAAAGGATCAATTATGGAATTTACTCTAAAATATATCTTTAGTCTATTTTTTTCATTTTAATCAACTACATAAAAGTTTGAAATATTAACTAGGACATGAAAATACATTAACTAATAGAAATAGTTAGCACTACGTTGACCGGGTCGTTGACCCGGTTCAATCCAATTCGACCGGTTAACTCTTGACCCACTAGCTTGCCCGGTTCGACGTCCGGTCCGGTTTTCAGAACATTGGTCTGCATACATGATACTCACACCCCTAAACATTTACACTATGTTTGGTTGAAATTGAGAGGAAAATGAAAATAATAAGAAAGAAAATAGTTTTCTTGTCTGGCTAGGGAGGAAAAGAAAAAAAATAAAAGGGAAAGAAAATGAATAAGTAAAAGAAAAAACCAAATTCCTTTAATTCTGGTGAGGAAAATGTTTTCTTTTCTTTTTCCTTTCAAATTCTTGAACCATATATAGTGTTAAGTCAAGGATCTCAATTTACCTCCTAATTGGTTAGCATTTTGAAAACACTTTGATGCCAAACATGGCCTACATCTATGAGAGTTATGAGAAACAAAAGTACAATACCAAACCAAACTATACAACACTCCATTGGAAGTGGGGGTGGATGGGTGCAAGCAAACCTTGGGCCTGTTTGGCCACAACTCTAACATTTAGCTTTACCATTTCGAAAAAGCTATATAATGACAACATTTAACTTTAACATTTCCAAAGTTAATCTGCACCATTTAAAAATTATCTAAAATGTTGTTTCCGGAGGACGGTCCATAAAAAAATGCATCATGTTATATTTGAAATGCTAGGCAAAAACAGTCTGCATATGTTTTCAAGGTAGAGGTAAGACACGCGCACCCTCACCCACCCCAAACCCCACTCGTGGGATTTTACCGGGTTTGTTGTAGTTGTGGCCAAGGAACTACAGAGGAATTACCTTGTAGGAGAGCTTTCATTGTCTTCTAAGATGTGACTGCATTTCTTGAACTTGACAAAACAGATCAACAAACTGGTTATAGGCAATCTAGAATTGACAATACATAAATGTTCCAGATTCATTAAGCAAAGGAAAGTATGCATGAACACACATACTGAAACTAAAATCACAAGTAGGTAATGCACATTATACAAAATAAAAACAATAATAGACCTATTATAGATAAGGTTTAATGGTTTGTGACATTTACTCTAAGTTATAAGTAACTCTTGAGTAGCATTTTTGGCTGAAATGGATATCAAAAAAAAAAATTCTCAAGCAAATAAGCCATATACACCTTACCAAACATGCCCTCTAAAAGGAGTGCATGTTTTTAGTCCAACATAAATGACAATCCTTGATAATATTGACTGTTAGAAAAAATGGCAATCCTCCCATTTAATGGTATCACCAGGAAGTCAAATGAAATTACATAGCTATAAATGAAATTACTGTCACTAGAAAGGGTTATAAATACATATACTGCACATTGACTTGGAGAGTTTACTATTTTATGCATTATATCATCAAACTATAAACATAACTACTTGTATATCACAATCAAGTATTGATTTTGGAGATTGCAAAGGTATCATCAATCAGTGTGTTTGGTATACTAGTTTTCATTTTAATGGCAAGTTCTCTTTGGAGGAAGAAAAGCACTTTTTTACTTCAAAAAGAAGGTTTTGCATGAAAATGGAAAAAGGGTAAATGAATAAAAAGCACTTTTAATGCTTACAAAAGCAACAAGTTGATGCTTTTTTCAACAAAGAAAAAAAGTGTTCAAGGCTTTGTTTGGCAACAAGTGGTATGATGCTTGTGTCAACTGTTTGGGTGGTGATTTTTTTATCTTGAAAAAATAAGCTTGAGAAGCAACTGCTCAATAAAGAGCTTTAACAACAAGCTTTTTGCGACCTTGTGTTTGGCGACCAAACGGCCTGTAATCAAACACTTATAATAACTGAGGGTGTTCGAGAAAAGCTTGTTTATCCCAAGTAGCTTGTTTTCAAGCTTTTGGAAGTAGTTTTTTTTATCAACAATGTTTTACCTATAAAAAAAAAACAACACAAACATCTACCCGAACACCTCACACAAGCATCTAACAACCAATCGGTTGCCAAACAGGATCACTGTCTTTTTTCACAAAGCTCTTTGGCAAGCACAGAAGCACCTAATTCCTTAACAAGAGAGCACTTGCAAAAACAAAGATATAATCAAGTAGAAACCTTTTAAAAAAACCTCTAGCAAAACATGACTGCAAAAGAAGTCTTTATATTCAAGGGAGCAATTCTGTATAATTTTGCAACAAATTACACAAGCATAAGCATTAGGACCTCCTAGCATTATTGCCTCAATGCAACTAGCTTAAGTCATAAGCCAGTTTTCACTGTTCACAAAGCACTGTCTGATATTGTAAAATGATGCATGCAAAACTAATGCATCAGGTAGCAGAGCATGGGAAAGGAAACACCATGTGAGGTCTCAACAAAGGTGAAATTAAGCACTAAAGAAATGAACTAATGAAGTACTATTGCCATTTGCCAATGCATTAACAAACACTTAACATTGTAATATCTAAAGCAAAGAATATTGTATACGAGTATCAAATTACCTTTTCCCCTCTTTACCTGCATTCTCAAGAACGTTGTCCTCGACGGAAACCATCTTCAAATTTTAGTCAATAGTGGATGCCTAAAACACCCCATTTCATATGCAAAATGTGTGGCATGAAAATGAAAAGGCAAACTTCCATCCATTCAAGTTGTCCAAATCTGTATCTAAAAAGTGCACCTACAAAAATATTCTTCTTTGTATGGAGAAAAAAGACATACACCTGTGTATGATTTCTTCTAGATACAGACACTATACAAGCACGGTTCAGAGTTCATACAATGAGATTGTGTCAGCTAAGAATGAAACTAGCAATGAAATGAACTTTCATTCTAACACAAGCATGGGGTAATATTACAGATATTCTGCAAATGGAAAACAGGATCTTCTCTACTCTTCTTCTTCTCGTCTGTTTTTTTTTTTGGTTTTTTTTCCTCATTTTGGAGGCAAACAGAAATGACCTGCATTTCAAGAGCTTTTCCTTCTGGTGTTGTGAAGACTGAGAGGAATTCCTTCGAAGAGGTCCAGTAAGTAATTCTCAAGATCATCAGCTGTATACTTTATGTATTTCCCAGAATTTCTCCCACTCTCAAGATGACTACCGAACCTACCCAGGAAAGACCGATACGCTGGAATCACTTTTTCTGAGATGGAAATCCGAAGCTCCTCACGAAGTTGCTCGTCCGGCACCTTCCAAGCCGTTTGGATCCTATAAAGCTCCTCAAAGCAGGCATTGAAGTTCTTGAACCTTTCTTTAAGAGCAACTTTTGAGGCATTATTAGAGCTTGCACCAATACCTTCATCCTTCAAACAAGACAGCACTTTGCTCCAAGAAGCTCTAAGATATGCAGTGGCATACTGTCTGACCTGTCCACGACGCTTACGTACCCACAAATCACCCATGTGCTTCCTAAGATCAGAATTTTTCACCTTTTGAACTATGTAAAGCATGTTGTTCATCAAGAAAACATATTGCATCCCAATATCCTCATAAACCCTGGACTTTTCTTCAATATTAACTTCCAAAGACTTAATCAATATGGACAATCGCTTTGCAAACAGAGAATTACTCTCCAACTCCCTATCATCGTCAACTTGAGAGCTCTCAGATTCCAACCCACTCTCAACATTGCTTAAGAGTTCGTTAATTGTATTGCTATAATCAACAAGATATATCAAGTAATTCATAACATAACGAGTCAATGGATGAATCTCACCACCTTGGATGGGAGTCTTGGAAGCCTCCCCTTGAACTGCATTTTCAAATTCCACAAACGTCCCTATAGCTGCTTCTCCTAAGCCATCCAAGACTCCCTTAGCTTCACTGCACACCATTTCCCCTGCCTCGTGGCTAAAAAGTTCTTCTAAATCGGGCATAACAGCAGATAGAGCATCATACATGTCAAGAATTTGGAATAATTTCTCTGAAGACTTCTTGCCTATGACCACAGCCTCCCCAAAATTCAAGATCTGCATTACACATCCCTTTGCAGTCTCAATGAAACATATTTCTTTGGTCAAATCAGAACCACTAAAAAAATGTTCGCAGAGTTGCTTTTCACCAGACAGGACAACTCTCACAACAATTTTCACAGTGTAGGTCCATTTCTTCATCTTCTCGTCCAGAGACCGCCCCTCCATCTTCTGGACTTCCTCGATGCTAACCTTCTCAACGCCAAGAACTGACATGAACTCATCCAGCACGTCTCGCCGGACCGTGGAGTAAACTTGACAGCATTCCTTCTCATAGCCAGATCGGATCATCCTGTCCGCAATCTCTTTAAGTTCATCAACGGAATCTGGATTGATCAAGTCAAGATTCATCTCCAAACCACCAAGACTGGGGCCTCTCAAGTGATTGTACCTCCCGCTGCTCCCCCCAACCCCGCGGTCTCCTCCTTCAGAAACCGTCCCAGTCTCGAAATCGGGGAACTCAGAAACAGAGGGAGAGAGGGAGGAGCGGCGAATGAAGGAGGAGTGGTGGAGGCGCTCGGTGTCGAGAGGAACAGTGCTGCGAGCGAGAATGTTCCTGAACTCGTCCTCGAGCTGCGACATCGCGAGCTGAAGAGCGGCGTCGACGCGGTCCAGGGCGGCCTCGTCGCGAGGGCGGGAAATCTCAAGATCCTCGGTCATGCGAATGATCTCGTCGACGGCGGAGAGGAAGACATCGGAGTCGGAGGAGAGGGAGGCGGTGCCGTCGGCGATGAGCTTCTCGGCTTCCTCGAAGCGGCTGTCGAAGGCGAACCCGTCGCCTTGGGAGGAGGAGGAGGCGGCGGCGGCCTTGGCGGAGGAAGGAGTGGAAATGGCGGAGGAGGAGGACATGAAATTGGAGAGATTGGAGAGGCGATTGTCGAAGCTGGAGAAGATGAGAAGCATATCGTCAGTGTCCGTAGAAGTGTGAAGGCTCTTCATGATCTGCTGCGCTGTCGCCAGAACCCTATCTTCCCCTTCCATCGCTCTCTCTCTCTCTCTCTCTCTCTCTCTCTCTCTCTATCTCTGTCTCTACACCTCCTTCTTCTCTCTCTGTATTTATACAAATACACAAATATACGCCTTCATTTCCGTATATACTCCCTATCTTCTACTCCCCTCATTTTTCTCACTTTCATTTTTTAATTGATTTTATTAAAGTAAGAAAAAGAAAAAAAAAAGAGATAACTCCCTATATAGAAAGTAAAAAATTATGAATATACTAAAATATGGGTCTTAAAACTTTAGAACCAAAATAAAAGTTCATATTGCTATCGCTATACTGTCACACTCACTACAGTGTTACATTATATCTGTCACACTATAACAGTCATATTGTCATCTGTCGGCGCCGACCATCACAAGTCTACTACAGATCGCTGACGGTTGACTGACCACACTGACATATTACACTGCCATTAGTTGTCAATCACATTGTCAACGCGTACTCTTACACTACACTGTCATTATACGCATAGTTTGGCCTTAACAGATTTATGATTCCTGATATTTGTATACTTTTATGGCAACATTTTTAGACCCCATGTTGTTTAAAAATTTACCTAAATACATTTAAACTATGATTTCTTGTGTTGTACGAGTACATCCGAGATAGAGCCACCACTTTCATAATAGTAAGATTATAATAAGAATTTTAAAAAAAAAATATGACTGAAATATAATGACGACCATAGGTTTTATTTTTCAATGTAGGATCAATGGGCATTATCCATTCATCATTATTCAGGTAAATGTCTACCATTACTTGGCATCATTCCTCTCACTACACATTATTAAGTACCATGCAAGGAATATAAAAGTTTAAGTCCTACATTGAAAAATAACATATGTTTTTGTCTTATTTAGTGTAAATTTTTCATTATAACATGACCTCTTGAGTATGTATTTTTGTTATTGTCATTGTGAAACACATGTAATTTGACATTATGTATTGTCATTTCATAATTTTTTACTCCATTCGTCTTAAAATGATCTTCCATGTTACTTTTCACACAGGCAAACTTTAATCACTTTTTTTTACCTATTTTTATTAGGTATTTGATAAAATAATATAGTCTTATCACCACTTATTTTATTTGTAGAACTTTTGATGTAGTTTTTAAATATATAAATTTTATTTTTTTAATTTTACACCTACAATCAAATAAATTGATTTAAAATAAAGTTAGTCAAATCTCGTAAACAGAAACGGGAAGAACATTATAGGACGGAGGAAGTAGTATTTTACTCCCTCCGTTCCTCAGTATTTGTTCACTTTTCACTTTTCCGGTCAAAATTGGTAAATTTTGTTCTCAAATTAAATAAAAATGATATTAGATATTGATATAAAATAATTTTATTAGATTTATCATATCAAATATTTTCAAAATATTATTTATCTAATTAGTATACAATATATATATATATATATATATATATATATATATATATATATATATATATATATATTATTTAATTATACGTCAAAAGTTGATTAGTTGACCGAAAAAATCAAAACTGGATAAATATTGAAGAAGGGAGGTAGTACATTTATTTTGGTACTTTTTTTTGGCTATTTGGCATTCTCGTGTGGTGATATTGTGGTCTTTTGGTGTTATGACTTTGTTTGGTGATGTGTTATTTCTAGAAAAATTTGATGTGTTTTTTTAGATATGAGTGATTTTTTTGACAAATATTATACGAGTAGTGATGGCCGACTGTAGAATTAACTGCGACAGCTTGATGAGGATGAAGAAATAATATGAATTTTGCAAGTTAATTTTTTTAGAAAAAATAAAATTTATTATGAATTGCCAAAAAGAAGTGCGTCTTAAATATGGAACGAAAAAAAATAACTCTCTCCGTCACAAAAAATTGATACTTTTTAATTACAAATTAGACATAATTTAAATAAATAAATATTGTAAAAGTTTGATATATCAAAATTATATTTTAAGATGAATTCAATTATTTTGAATTTACATCATAATTAAATATACTTTTTTCGTATTTTAAAATAAAAGAATATTTATGTTTGAAAAAATCCAAAGAAGAAAATTTTTCTGGAACGGAGGTAATAGACTCACATCAATAAACTTTTAAAAGTATACACGTTGTGGAAATTTGAAAAGAAAAATCATAATGAACAAATTAAACTACTTAAAAACTGGGGAGTATATTTTAATATAAATTTCAACTAAATTACATTTGGAAAGTCAAAAGTCATTTAAATATTGGCGATATAAGTAGAAGAAATCATTCTTTGTTTAATGACCAAAGATAGCCTTATTATCGTGTGGTTCTATCATTTTCTACGTGTTCTCATCGTGTGACTTATTAATTCATCTTCCGTTTCAAATTACTACTCCGTACATGCATGTTTGCCCGTTTAGTCCCTCCATGCCAAATTATTATTATTATATTTATTATTTTAGTCTCTCAATAATTTTTATTGATTTATATATTTTTGTTTATTATTTGGTAAGGCACCATAGCGTAGTTTGATATATGTAGCCGATCCCATCCAGTGGGACAAAGTTTTGTTGTTGTTGTATTTGATAAAATAAAATATTTTGGTGTATCTTCTTCTGTAAATCTTTGATCGTATTTTTTAAATATGTAATTTATACAGAGTACTTTTATTATTTATACTAATTTTAAAAGGAAAATGATTTTAAAAGTGATGAGTTTTAGCACGTTCTTCGAAACAAAAATATTATTTTGGGATGGAGGAAGTAATAGCTTTAATTAAATTTTGATTATTATATTTTGGATTTTGATGGTTTTAATTTAATAATCAAAATTCAATGTTAGTTTAATTTAAAATATTATTGAAAATGTTAGAGCAAAAAATTGTCGTTAGATAACTTTTTCAAAATGGTAATTCTAGTCTCTAATGATGTTGTCAAACAAGTCTGTAGAGTAGAAACTAGAAAGGACTATCCCGCGCACTGCGCAGTTGGCAAAGGCAAGAAGTGCCAAATGGTAGACCCAAATTTAATTTATTGCAACTGCACTGGAAAACACATATGCTAAGCATAAGATGTCTGCCAGTATCAGGAGCAGTCCAGAAGAATGAAATCCATCAATTATGTACTCCCTAACCAATTGTTTTGTACCAAACATGACATCTAAATTACAAAGAAATTACTCGTCAATTTTATTTTAGGTTCACGCAAAAAAAAAGTGCTTAAGACTCTTAACTATTTATAATTTGATTTTTAAATTTTTTGAGTCAATGGAATAGGAAAATGTGAAATATTGTTGTTCAAATTTATATACCACAATCAATTCTCCTTAAAAAACAAACTTTATTGTGAAAAATCAAAAAAGGCGTATGAAATTTTAATATGGAACGGTAAAACTGTAAAAGTATACACGGAGTAAAAAAAAAGTATGGAAAGGGGTGGGTTGAAAAACAAAAAGTGAATAACATACTCCGTATGGCTGTAATTAATTACTAATTACTCCGTCATTAAATGTTAAAAAATTAAAAGTGCCAACTACTCTCAATTAGAGAATTAAATATAGCCTTATTTTAGGGAGGGGAGTATCAGATCCCTATAGCTTTAACCCAGCAAAGAAATAGTAAATCACATGTGGAATCACTACCATTAAAAAAATATGGAGTAATTGTTAATTAAAAGAATAAAAAAAGGGATCAAATTACATCATTCATGATACAATAATATATAGTTGAGAATTAAGGTAATGACAATGACCATTGTTACAAAGTACTCCCTCCATTCCTAAATAACTGTCTGCAAAGACGTTCAAGATACGTTAAAAATCACATGAATGTAGACTTAACATCTGTCCACATTCATTCAAGCTCTAATGACGTTAATCATGCATTTCAAGAGCCTCTTGCAATTCCTGGAACAGATCATTTGACGTATCCCAAAGATCTTTAGAGATCTTAGAATTGTAGGAAAGCGGGGATGATGTCAAAGTTCTTCCTTTTCCTCCAAAGAAGTATTCTCCTGATGTTTCCTGTGAAACAACATATGCATGAAACAATCCTAAGCATGCATATAGTTTAAGGAGCCTCTTAGATTTCCAGGCATGTAAAAACTCCAGCAAGCTTGCCTAATATAGTCATATTTACGATGTTTTTTTAGCTCGGGGTAAAAAAAAACCAAATCAAAATGGCGCATTAAACTTACTGGGAGGGCAAGCGAGGCATCAAGAATAGAGCCTACCGCATATTCTGGGGTTTGAAGGAGACCCAAAGCTTTCAAGCTTATAAAGGCTATGTGAGAAATGCCCCAAGGAAATTCTCGCATGATTTCGGTTTTCACGGCTCCAGGATCCACAGCTCTTTACACAATCAAAGAGAAGAAATCAATCGTCGATTTGGGTGACAAACTTAAAACAAATCAATGAAAAACAATTCGAATTAGTGAAGTCGGGAAGGCATGGGAAGGTTAGACGCTTGAGAGAAATTTTCTTTTTGCCGGTTTTGCCCCTTGGCTACTACTTATTTATACAAATTTCAGCTACAAATGTGCAAGTGGAATAATCAAATGACAATCTAGAGAATGTGAAGGGAATTGAAGATAAATACGGAGTAACACTTACACTACGGAGAGCTTATGGCAGTTATCCATTACATAAGCTCGTCGATGCAGCTCATATGAAAACAGCAAAAGGCACACTGCCACCCATTGGAAGCAACTACTAGAAGAAGGGTACAGTACAACAAACAATACATGACCTTTAACATTTACTCTTACATTTTGAGTACTCGTAGATTTCTGCAAACGGGTACCGCTTTGATTTGGATAAAGACTTGATAGCTCTTCGGTCCACCTGCATGGACCATACTGGAAAAAAGAAGAACTAAGTATTACCAAAACCATTATGACATTAAACTGAAGATTAATTGAATTAGGTTCACTCTTACCACTCCGGTGTGTAAAGGATGTGACATTAACCACACGAGAAGGGGTGGGGCTACTTTCCAGCAAAGGGAGAAGGACTTTGGTCATACAAAATGCACCAAAATAGTTTGTTGTGAACATCCTGAAAAAAATGTGTGAATAATGTTGAGTGGAACTAATCTAATCACATCAGAGTAGCACAATGTTGGTTTTAAATGCATCTTATGTGCCCCATAAATGGGAGCCAAGTCATACCCAATAAACTTGTAAGTAATCTGTGGAACCATAGCTTAGCCTTTAGGACTTTTTAGTGTTTCCTTAAGGACTCTTGTAGATGGTGTCATGATGATAAGCGTCTACTAGTCATAGGTCTTGTTTGGGAACAACGTTTTCAATCAGCATTAGCGTTTTAGAAAAAAATTTAATGGTGTAGATTAATTCTGAAAATGCTACGCTAAAAGCTACCACCAGATAGCATTTTCAAAAGGCTAATGCTAACCTCTAATGCTGATGCCAAATGGGGCCAAAATAACTCAACCAATACCGGAGCAAATGTTTTTAAAGTAGTTACTGGTCATATCCTTCAGAAGTGATCCTAGAGGTCGTTGCGAGGATTCCAGCATTATTTATCAGGAGTTGAATAGAAGGATGCAAATTCGAATCCAGCAGCCATTGTTTGAGTGACCTCTTGAACTTCACAATCGACTCGAAGGAGGTCATATCCACTTCAAAAGCTTTCACGCAAGCATCAACCTCACTTCTCCTAATATCAGATGTTACCTGAAACAAAGTTTGATTTGCAAAAGTTGGAGTTAAAACTGAAATAAACGGAGGACGTGGGGGTGCTCAAAAGGTTATAGCACCAACACATCTTCCTCTTCACCAATGTTCAATCCCTCCCCTACGCCCCCCCCCCAAATATCCCTTGGATCGGACCCCGTAAGAAAACACAAGGAAAAAAAAACAAAAAAGACAAAGATCGAACCTTTGATAAACGTTCCAAAGATCTCCCTACTGCATTGATTATTAAAAAAAATCTCAATCAACCATAGAGTTGGAACAAAGTATAGTTCGAAAGCACCCATAATCGACAAGATTTCATTGCTGTCGATTGATATAAATTAGCAAGAGAATAAGCTCTAAACAATTCAAAATCTTCCAACATAAACAAGACTAACAATATCATCATATGTTATAAAAAAAGCGAAAGGCGAAGTACCAAGAACAACATAAAAGCCTTCATTTGCAAGGGCATGAGCAGCAGCAGCCCCCAGACCAGACGAAGCCTACATGTGAAAACCCAAAACAACATAAGGGCTGTTTGGAAACAACCAGTGGGACTCTAAGAGGATTGAATTGAATTCTCAGTGGAATCGAATCAAGTTAATCTACCCCAGTTATTACACAGACCGGCCTGGACAGAGGCATTGAGGCATAGGAGTGATCTTTGGGAGACAAGCGCGTATAGGGTTTATGTTTATGCAATGAAAAGTTTTGGAGATACAACTTCAAGTATGAATAAACCAGAGAAAGGGTCCAGAGGATTGCCATTCTCCAGAGCTGAAATGTGCAAATGAAATGTAGAGAATCCATTAACTCCTTCAGTATTCCCATCTTATGTCAGATCTGTGTAAAATCAAGAAAAGCACACATGAAGATTGAAGACTGTGGTGAAATGGCAAGCATGAGAATTTAAGGAGTTGCCTAAAATTGAAAAATCATAAATTAAATAAAAATGATATTAGATATTCATGCAAAAATAATTTTATTAGATTTATATTTTAAAATATTATTTTATCTAATTAATATATATGATATACTCCGTATATTTTATTTAATTATAGGTCAGAAGTTAAAAAAAATTGAAACTGGACAAATACTCATAGGCGAAGATAGTAACTTTTAGCAATTCCTTTGGAGTTGCTCTTAAGAAATGGTAAAGGCTATGGTAGTCCTAAGAGCATCTCCAACCATGCTAAAATGGCTTGTTATATGTTAGAATTTGACAAGCCAAACAAAAATTTAAGCTTCAAGGGGCTTGCCAATTTTTGACAAGCTTGCTAAAAATTGAAAATGACTTGCTACTAATAACAAGTTTGGTAAAATATAGCTAGCCAAAAAGAACAAAAATGTTGATTGGGTTACTTTTTTTCGTGTGCCACAACGCATTTGTTCCCTCACGTTCAATGCCACAACGCAAGAATAAAAATAATCTTTTTTTTACAAAAAAATTATTTTAATACAAAAAAATTGTTTTTTTACAAAAAAAATATTTTTTACAAAAAATACTGTTTTATTTTAAATTAGTTTTTTTAAATTGCATACTTACAAAGTTACTTAAAATTTATAAAATAAAATAATAAAATTTAAAAATTATTGTAAATAGTGTCCTATAATAGTGAAATCAATATTGTAAATAGCATCTAAAAATGAACCTCGCCTTACTTAAGAGAAGCAATTTTTCAAACCCATTCATGATATTCATTTAAAGAGCATATAAAGTCCAGTAGCTCTCTTATTTCAGTCTAAAGACTACTTTTGACGCTGTCCAGATCAGATTTTAGAAGCAAAACATCCTAAAGACATACTCCGTATTAATTTTCATAATAAGGGATATAACTTGACCAAAGTTGTTGCTAACTCTAAGAAAATGACCCAACAGGAGGCAAAACATGCAAAGTGCTACTTCTAACTAGAAAAAGAAAGAGAAACAGAATGTAAAGAAAAGGTTTTTTTTTTTATATTTTATGATTTTTTTCTTTTTTTTTCTACTTAAGCAATTGGTTCTCATAAAAAATAAACTTTTCCCGGCAACGGCACCAAAATTTGTTAGGCGTGTCATAGTGCCTACAAATTAATTCTTTTTTCTTATCCCCTTTTTAATTTTAAACTTATATTTTATAGCTAGGATAAGTAAGAGTCGATCCCACGGAGAAAGATATTCTTTATTTTATGAAAATCACTTACTTAAGTTTTACGTTTTTTTCCATTTAAAAACAACTAAAAAGGGCTAACTATTTGGGGAGTTTTAAAAAATAAATTGGAAAGATAAAGATAAATAAAAAGGATAAAATGGGCAAAGAAACACAACCGTTGCAGCCACTTATAACAAGGACGAAGACACACAAGGACAACACTAACACAAAACTAACAAACACTTTAAACTTTATAAAAACGTAGACGATAATAATTAACTTAAACTGATTTTTAAAAAATAATTTATAGTTTGAAAAACAAATTGATCAAATCCAGATTCTCAAATTAATTAGAACTACTCCAAATTAAAACGATTGACAAAACTCTGGGTTAAGTTGAAGAAGAAATCCACCTGCGGTTCTTCCCTATTCTCCGTAGTATAGCCTAGGTTAAGACCTGCCCTAACTCTAGACCCTACTATTTTTAACAACCTAAGGACCTGCCCCCAGATTTAATAAAAAATAGAGCATTAAGTTCTTTGGAAAACATCACTTAACAACTATGCAGTAGACTATATCTATTTAACATAGCCAGTTTGAAAACTCCAATTAATAAAAACCGGGTGAGAGCCAAATAGCCAATTAAGTATTAATCGGGTGACACTTGTGTTTTGAAAATCTCAGCTATTAACGTACTTAAGACATCAAAACTATCAATTTGGAATTAGATTTTAGGTGGCCATCCTAAATTTGTCTAATCCAAGCATAAACAAAATCAGTTTTAAAACACCATTTTTGAGTTCAAATCAACCGTAGCACTAAGGCTAAAAACATCTCCAAACCATATTACCCAACAAGGACTTCTTGAACCAAAGATTCAATCGTATTGTTGAATAAAATAGTATGAGGAGTTTTTCAATAATTAAAAGACTAAAATGATCAAAAAGAAACCAGATTTGAGAAATAAAAACATAAACGAATGCATATTTAGAACTCAAGCTCTCACTTTAAACAATTCACACGCATGGAACATCTGTAAGCAAAGTCAAGGCTTGAATTACAATTGAAGTGGACTAACGAACAGGAAACAATTGAACAAACAAAATTCAATCCTAACACACTAATGTTCACTTGATTGACATAAAAGAAAACTCCACTGTGAACAAAAAAAAACAAAGGAAACACAAGGAAGAAGGAGGATCTGGACCGAAGTCCAGACCCCAGAGGATCGTACCTCTGCGATTTCAGTCCTCGTTACCAGCCGCTGCCCAAGTCGTGTTCTTCCCTCCTCCTTCGCTGCCGCTGATTAACTCGCAGGTACCGGCTTTGTTTGGATTATCCGTTGGCTGGGGTGTGGCGTGATTCAACATTGGTTTGGCTGCGCTGATTTGGGCTGCGTAAACGCCAATTGGGTTAAGTCCCAAGTGACTTGGCCCATTTGCTTCTTCATCTAGTTCTTGACAGCCCCCGGGATCACGGAGCCCTTTGATGCTCCGTAAAACACGATTTTTAAAACCTACGTCAAGGTAAATGAGATACTCCCTAATAAAAAGTAGTGAAGTAAAAGCATAAACAAAAGAATGCATTTTATGAGTAAAATGTAAATAATGGTCTAAATTGCTAGATAAACATAATAGTGATTAAATGTGTATAAAATGCATCTGGAATATACTAAAACGGGCTAATATGAGCGAATAAAATATGATATTTGAGAACTTATCAGTCACCGTTGGCGAATGTCAACGGAACTCCATCTTTGATATACATAATATGAACCTCTAGTTCACTGTATGAGTGACTAATTCATTTTGTCTTGGTTAAATGATATATCTAATAGTATGACATATTTGATCCATAAGATATCTTCTTCAAAGCTATGCTCTACACCAACTTTATGATAATAGCTTTAGTCAGGTTTTTGAGTCACTCCTCCCCCATTCTTCCTAGGCATGCATATGCCATTCCAACCTTGCCAACATAGGATAGGTGCTTCAATGACCATAAAGTAATTTTGACAATCATTTTTCTATCTATCACAATTTTTATCACTAATTTTAGGGGAAGTAATGGAACCTCCAAGATAGCTGAAAAGAAAAGTTCCTTTCTTCATATTAGTAAGCTTTAAGAGCCTCTCCTCCATTTGTTTAGAAATTTCATCAAATACAATTTTAGATTTTGAGAGATTAACATAAAGGCTAATAGAACATTTCCCAGGGCATGCATAATATAGTTCATGGAATTTTCATCAGCTTTGCAAGCAACAATAAGATCATCAGCAAAGATTAAGTTGATAAGCTTTAAAGACTTGCATAGGGATGTTAATCAAATTACTCTTTTTTTGTGAAAAATTAAAAAGACCTCGACAGATATTCCATAATAAGAACAATTAAACCTTTTTTGATATGTTCAAAAAAGAGAATAAGGAATAAAAGAAAATGTAAAAAAAGAAAAAGATTCAAAAATACATTTAGAGAAAAGGAGAGCATAGCTGCGAGAATAAGATTCTTTTTCAAGACGACCAAAAATTTAATTTTTTTTGGATGAAATCCATTTTCAGAACATCTAGAAAAAATTCTTACATTTATCAAGACGCCTGAAAATTCAAATGTTTTTGGATAATTTTTTTTTCAAAACATCTGATTTTTTTACCCACACCGAATTAGGTAAACACTTAGATTTTATTTCTAAAAATGCTATTTCAAGACCACAAGTGACACCCGTTATGTTTTTGGATAGTTATAGCCACACCTGCTAAAAGACTAAATAAACCCATCAACTAAATATATCCGGATACATTCTTATGTTTTTCTTTAAAAAAGTTAAAGAAGCTTTATTAATAAAAAACAACATTATACATAAATATTTAAAAATATCCATCATTTACATCAATTCATTACTTTTCAAGAAAAATTATAAATATTTTATTTGTAATTTTTTAACTCTTGCATCTCTTATTTTATTTTTTCATTAATTAAAATACTCCGTAATTTTTATTGTTAATACATTGAATGATCATTGATTTTATATAAAACCTAATATTTTTAAGTATTAAACTAATATGCATTTCACCATTTTTTTAAATCTACATAGTTATATTATTATTTAAAAAAGAAGGTTACATAGCTTATATTTTTAAAAAATTACGTAGTATAATTTTTAAAACTATTCACCATTATTTCCTTTTATAATATTTCAAAAACAAAGATCTATTATATAAATGTTAATAAATGTACATTATTATTGAAACTACTAACTTTTATTTCAAAAAGATATTATATCTGAAAACTAAAAATATATTTAGTGCAAAAATAAAAATAATAACATTATTTTTTGATTCCAAACATAATATAATTTTATCAAAAAGTTAAAATTTTTAGAATATTATACTTCGTTCTTAAATGTTTACCACATTTCGTAAAAAGAGGTAAAATATCAAGTTTTTTCAATTCATTTTATTTAAATATTGGTATACAAATAAAAAATAAAATTTACATGTTTAAAAATTACATGAAAAATCTTTGAAATAAAATGTATCAAGAATATTTTATTTTATTTAAATAATACGGAGTATATAAAAATATACAAATAAACAAAAATTTTCGTCCTTGTTGAAAAAAAATGTGACAAACATTTTGAAACAGAGGGAACATGAGTTCATATGAAGCTTGCTATTAAAAAAATACTCTATTACTCCCTCCGTCCCAGAAAGAATGCCACGTTTACTATTCTGGCATCTCGATAACTTTTGTTTGTTTACTCGTTTTGGTTGACCATTTGATAAAATAAAATATTCTTGTCGCATCTTGTTTTGTAGAACTTTTCATATACTTTTGAATGGTGTAATTTTTACTTTTTATTACTCTACCAATTTGAAATTAAAGTGATTTTAAAAGAGATGATATTTTGCACGTCATTCGAAGTGTTGCAAATAAATTGGGACGGAAGGAGTAGTAGAGTAAAATTAGAAACAGTGTTATTGTTGAATAGGACAAAAATCACAAACAGTAACAGCAAGCACTATGCCATTAATCCTTAATTAATGTTTTCTTTTTGCTAATTAGTAATTACTCTAATTCTTATTTGGATGAAAATAATAAGAACAACAAATATGCCAAACTTGCACATGATATCCCTCCGCACTATGCCATTAATCCTTAATTAATGTTTTCTTTTTGCTAATTAGTAATTACTCTAATTCTTATTTGGATGAAA